GATTGTGATTCATTTTGAAAAATTAAATACTGACTGAATGTATATCATCTAACACTTTGTGTGCATTGACTTAAATAAATATTTTGTGTATTATGACTAAGATCTAGTGTAAAATTTAGATGTTCTGTTGCTGTTTCTGTAGGATATGTTTTCGCTTAGTGAGAAGTTATGAGTTCTATTCTTACCATGTTCCTGGTAGTAACTCTGAGGTGAATAAAAATAAAAAATAAAATAAAATAAAAATAACTTAATACAAATACATAAAAAATTGTTTATCCATTTTCGTGACTTGAGACTCAAACTGAGAGTCAGTGTTAGTTATATTATTGTAGGAATAGCATGATATGATTATACCAATATACAAATTCGTAAAAGAAACACATTACACAAGTTATAAGAAGCTTCCCAGCAAACCATGATGCTTGGGCCCCGCGCCGTATTTATCTGGGCTAGTCTGGGTAACCCAGCCTGGATTCAGCGAGGTTTTTGTGTCGGTTTTAGTGTGGGTCCCGTGTTGATATCCCGAACCATCGTGAAACAAATTAAATACACGCTTTCCAATTAAATACACGCTTTTCAATATTACAATTACATCAAAGTTTATTTATATCAGCAAATTAAAAATTTGGGAATTTAATTTATGGATTTATCTATGACATAAATATACATGGACTATGTATTTGTTTATAAGAAGTGTTTATATGTTTTATATGAACGTTTATATGTTTTATATGAAAGGTTTATATAAATTATTTTGCATAATCTATAGCTATAGATACTTAAATAGTCTAGATTATTTAAGTACATATATGTACTTACTATAATGTAATTATAGTAAGATCATTATTTAATAATTTAATCTGATGGAACTTGGTGATAAACAAAATAATGATTAACATATGAATCATATGTTAATCATTATTTTGTATTACACGAACATTCGTATTTCATCAGGTAATCTATTGCATATTTCGTCAGATAAAGACAAGTCCCATCAGATAACCATAATATTTTATTAAAACTTATATTTGTATTATCTTAACATATTTAATATTTAGGCAAAATATCAGAAAGCATTAAATAAATTTAAAAATTATAATGGCAGCATTTAATGGGAACGTTAATTTGAAGACGTGTTCAGATAGAACAAAAAAAAGAAGAATTAGATCAAGAGTTTCAAGCGTACTTACTGAGTTGTTTCAGAAAGATAAATTCGAAAGTATTTCCATGCTAGATAATCCTGTTATTACTTCGAAGACTGTGGATGACTTAAGCTTTAGTAATTGTAAAAAAAGTGTTGATCATCATGGAAACAAACACAAAAATCCAAATGAACTTTTTACTATTTTTGATAGATCTCAAAGAGAGATTTCAGAAATGTTCTCTGATAATATTGAGTCTAGTGTTGATTTTGATTATAGTAGATGTGATTTAGAAGCTGATGAAGTTAACAGCACACAAAGTGATGATAATGATAATAATAATGAAAATGATGACTGCACACTAGTAAATAAAATTCGAGATTGGGCAATAACATATCGTATATCTCATTCAGCTTTGGGAGGTTTATTACACATATTGACTCCATTACACACTGATCTTCCTACTGATTCAAGAACCCTTTTAAATACTCGTCGAAATATTGATATCAAGCATGTTGCAGGTGGAAAATATTATTATTTTGAGGTGCAGTATTGGATACAAAACATTTTAAAATTCAATCAGCCTATTTCTCAAGTTGATCTTTTACATATTCATATTAACATTGACGGTATATCACTTCTTCACAGCAATTCTATTTCTTTTTGGCCGATTCTTGGTTCACTAAAAGAGTGCCTATCAGGTGGAACTTTTCCTGTTTCTATATATAGTAGCACTAAAAAACCTACTTCTCTTGATGAATATCTGAATGACCTTGTTTCAGATATGAAGAGCTTAAAGCAACATGGCTTTTTATTTGATAATAAAACTTACATAGTGAAAATTGATGCTATAATTTGTGATACACCAGCAAGGGCTTTTATTAAATGTATTAAGCTTCACTCTGCTTATAATTCATGTAAAAGATGTATGCGACGTGGCAAATGGTGTAACAAAATCAAACTTCCCATTATAGCGGCAACACTAATTACTGACTTGATCTTTACTGAGCGTCATTATTCTGAGCATCATGTAGGTACTTCACCATTGGAGAAGTTGGGTTGTGGTATGGTTACAGAATTTCCGTTAGATTATATGCACATTGTGTGTTTAGGTGTTATGCGTAGGATTCTGTTTCAATGGATTCATGGGCCGCGTGGAAATTGTAAGCTATCTCAGTTACAGTTATCCATGATATCTGACAACTTAGCTGTGATTCGTAAACAGATCCCCAAAGAGTTTTCACGAAAACCAGGATCTCTTTCAGAATATAAAAAATGGAAAGCGACTGAATTGAGACAATTTTTATTGTACACTGGGCCTGTTGTCTTTAAAAATGTTCTAAAAGACACCGTTTATTCTAATTTCCTTTATTTGTCTGTAGCCATACGAATATTGCTTAGCCCAAATTTGTTGTCAATAAATCTTGACTATGCCGAACAACTATTAAAATAATTTGTCGTCACATTTTCAAAGTTGTATGGTGAAAATCAACTTGTTTATAATATTCATTCTTTAATACATTTACCAAGTGATGCTAAACAATATGGTGTGCTTGATAACGTATCAACATTTAGATATGAAAGTTATCTTGGGAGATTAAAAAAATTAGTTCGCAAACCTCAGAATCTAACTGGCCAAGTGGTACGTCGAATTATCGAAGGGCACTGCAACATTAATGAATACACTAATAAAAAAGATCCAATTTTGAAGAAAATTCATTTAGATGGTCATATACCGGTTGTATACCAAAAATATATCCAGTTCAAATAATTCTATGGAACTGATTATTTTGTTTCTACATTCATTGGAGATAATTGTTTTAAAATTGAAAGTAAGTTAGGAATTGTAAAAAATATTCTGCATAATTCCACTTTCGCTGAACCTAACAAAGCTTCGTTGTGTTTGAAGAATTTGAAGATGTAGAACTATTTTTTTCAGATCCAGTTAGTTCGATTTCACTTTCAATTTATTTTGTGACCAAACTTACTGGCATAAGGCAAACTTTTCCTGTTTTGTTTAGTTATGATGTATCTTCTACTTCCATATAAAGAAGGATTTGTCGCTTTACCTCAAATGCATTTTTCGTAATTTTTAATAAAATTATTTTTAAGTTATTTTAATGTTTTACAGTATAGTTATTGTAATGTTTTACATACATTTTATTATTCCGTAAATAATTAAATACAAAAAAGTTTCTACTTTGACAGGTTTAGATTTGATATTATTTTAAATTAATTGCTTTTGATTTAAAAAAAATATTATAAAAAAAAAGAGCTTTATGATAACATGATTATTGTTTATTTAATTTTGGCATTTAGTTTCCTATTTAAATATGTATGCAATTCTCGAGTATATTGAGACTAAAGAGATTGATTTTCTGCCAATCAAGTGGATGGTTAAACGACTCAACTGGGATGTTAAAAATTTAATAAAAAATAAAACTGTATTAAGTTTTTACTATCCACCAGTAAAAGCAGCAAACAAAGTGTTGAATGCAAAAAAAAAATATGCAGTTATCCAGAAGAACACTGGCATTTATACAAAGTAAGAATTCTAGGAACTGCAAGTAAGTTTAATTTTTAGAGATTCATGTCTCTCTTTTAATATGAAATTGAAAGTTCCTATTGGGACAAAGTATTTTGTATATGACTTAATTAGTCATATACAAAATACTTTGGTAATTGTAGAAAGGAGATATTTTCTTTCTCTCGTTCCTAAAATATTTTGTCTGTGTATATTTTCTACAGCTAAAAATGTACATAGATGTAAGAAATTAAAAGAAAAATTATTTAAAGCGCAATACCAATGTTGTTTAAAAATATTTAAATATACCTTGCAGTGTACACAAAATATGAGTAATTTGTTCTAGACACTTTTAAAAGCGCGAAAGAAAAAGCAAAGCAGGCTGAAGATACATCAAATGTTGATTATGATACGGATGATTCTAGTAATTGTAGAGATATGGAAACACGAAAAATTAGATTTATGAATTCAAGTAAAGTTTATTTTACTTTTCAAAATATATTTGCTGGTTTCATTTTTAGCTTGATTTTTCTATATATGAGTATATATGAATATGAATAATATATATTAAATTAATTGATATGAAATTATATATGAAGGATAAAATCAATTAACAAAATTTTTTAAATTTATTTTTATAATTTAAAACATTATTGTTTTTCAGAAAAAGAAAACATTCTTTTATCTATGAAAGTAAAGTTGCTGATGATGAAGTTGAAGACAATTTTCAAGAAAGCGAAACAGGGTAAGATAAATTAGTTCTGTTTGCATGATCTATATAATTTTATGAAAAAAATTCTAAATAAAATAGTTTTAAAATTATTAAAAAAAATAATTATTTTTTGATTCTTATTACTTTATATTATCTAATTTTTTCAGGTTTTTTATAGAAGAGAGGTGTGAATATTCTTTAATAGATAGATAAGTAGAATAGTTAAGTGTCTTATAAAATCTGAAAAACTTAATTTGATGATTGCTAAAGTAAATTGGAAAGTTTAATAACCGGAGGCTATTAAAGTTTATATTCATATAATTATAGGAGGTATACATTGGTTTTAAAGTTTAATTTTTGAGTGAGGTGGATCTGTGAGTAATCGTTTGAAAATTTAATATAGCCTATTATATTTTTATCTATTTTGTTTTCAAATTGTTGTTTCAGAAATACAAACATCTGTAGTATTACTAAACCAACACCACCTGATCACTTGATGGCAATACAGTCAAGCTCAGGGTTGCATATGTCAAAATATCTAAAAAATCCCCATTCCAATACATCTGATAGCGAGCCTGGTATTTTACACCCTGGTGTTTTGTCCAATCAATCAAAAACTATCATGGAAACACCAGTGCACGTGTTAAGTTCGATCAACTCATGTAAGCTAGTTTTCTAAAGTTGCAAATTTCTTCAAATAATAAATTTTTAAAGGTTTTATTAAAATTAGTATATTGAACCTTTGACTGTATAATTCTTGAATATTAAAAAAATATTTAAAAAATATTAATAACAATAAAATTAATAAAACTTAGTAATATAATAATTTGTTGCACAGCAAGTATTTTGCTAACTTAATCTTTATTCTGGCAGAACACAGTAGCTGTGGCTAAACCTATGCATTTATTAATTTGATAACTTGTATTATTGTATTTACATTTAACAATTTAAAAAAATATGATTTAGCTGTTCTTTTGGAGAGGTTAATAACAACCCTTGAAGAAATTAAAGAAACTCAAAAGACTCTTTCTGCAATGTTGCAGTCTATTATGCGACAAATCAATACACCTCAGGTGGAAAAAGATAACGAATTGCCTGTAGGCATTGACCTTCCTATTTCCAGTATCAAAGATATTAATGATTTGGAGGAGCAGCTAAAAGATCGATCAATAAAGAGAACATTGGTGAGGGGTAACTTTTTTTTCATTGTCTAAGAACAATTTTTTTTATTTATTGGTTTATTTTAATGCATTTTTGTCTTCCAAGCCTCTTCAGACTGTCTTTATTATATTATATCTTGACCAAAATCCACCCTCGCCATTTTGTTCAGTAGACTCAGAGTACAGTGTTAGGCTAGCATTTGGTCATAAAACTAATACAATCATTTCTTAATTTAATTCAATTTATTTGTTTTTTACTATAAAAATCCAATGATACTTTTTTTAGACTTCAATTGTGTCCAATATTGGTGGGAGCTCATTGGATGATGCCGTTAAAAGAATGATGAAATTCATTCTATCTAATAATCTTGGAAGACTGTGTAATCTTTCTGGTCAGGCTGGAAAAGTATGCTTTTCGAAACTGGAAATATTTGATGTAGTCTGTGGTATGTTATGCTTTTCACATAACAATCATTATATGTATAATTTATAAATTATTTTTATTTGAATATATTTAAAATTAGATATTTTTACATAAACATAAATTATAATAATTTTTACAATTATTTTTGTTTTTGTTTAGGTGCAGTTAAAAGGAATGCATTGACAGCTAATGCAACTTAAAAAGAGATAGAGGTTGAGTTACGTAAATGGTTTTCTAACACCCGAGATCGAGGCCAAGACAGCCGGAAAAAAAAATCTGTATTAGATCATGCTAATTTGTTATTATCAGAAATATAGTTTGAACTTAAAAAATATTCGTCTAATAAATAAAATATATAAGATTTACTATCTTCTAAGATATTCGAGGATTGCCGTACGGTGATATTCGTACGTGTGGTCGTGCAAGTCGTAAACAGGTCTCTATAGACACGAATTAACTTAACAAATAGTTTTATTACCAAATAATTTAAATTATTTCGCAATCAATCCTTCCAAAAACGTGCCTGTGCGGTTCCCGGTCGGAACCTTCTAAAAACGTTACCATGCGGTTCCCGTGCGGGTTCCCTGGACAAAACCTTGCAGGTCCCGACTGGGATTCCCGTACGGGACCCAAACTTAAAACAACGCGGATCCCGTGTGGGCCCCGAGTTGTTTGGCTTGCTGGGTTATTAGGTAATTTCTAGTCTAGTTCCACAACAAACTAAAAAACTTTCCATTCAAATAAATAAAATATATATTATGATTAAGACAATTAAGTTTTAATATAACTTAATTGTCTTAAATTTACACTTGTTTTTATACAACTTACAACTTGTTTTAATACAACTTACAACTGTCTTAGACAACTGAATTGAATGTCTTAAAAAAAAAGGCTCTGCATTTTTATTGGCATTTAATTAAACTGCTAAATAGTTTAATAACGAGTATTTAAAAAACCTTTTATTGCATTATCTATTTGTAAATAAAATATTATATGCAAATATTATATATGTTAAAAATTTTTACTATATAAGTAATGTTAAATATACAAAGTAAACAAAAACATAACAAAAATGTCAACAGTTTTTGAAAATCAAATAAAGTTTTAGTAACTTTTATTTATCATTAATATCATAAAAGTTTGATATATAATTCAAATGTAAAATATAAAGAAATAATGTATTAATTATTAGTATCACAGAATATAATGCTTAAAAACCATTAAATTAAAATTAGCATCTTTTTTGATAACGGTTTTTCAGCCATTTTAAAAATGCGCTAGTTTGTAAAATCAAGTTGTGTTTACGCTAGAAAGCTGACGTTGCTTTGATGTCAAAAGTAAAAACGTAAAAAAAGCAACGTTGATCCAAAGTCGTTCCAACGTTAATCAGACTAACGTTGGTTTTACGTTAAACAACCAACGTTATTCCAACGTCGTTTTAATGTTAACATTCAAGACTTTAAATGATAACGTTTTTCCGACGCTGTTCCAACGTTTGATAGAAAGCGTTAGAACAACACCGTTATGCCGACGTTGGAACATCGTTGGAATTTAGTTAACTTGCGTCGCGACCAAAATACAACCAAATTACAACTACGGCTTGACGTCTTTTTCTTACGGGGATAGCTCAAACAACTTCATTAACAGCTAATTGTGCTAATACTAAAAGAATAAAATCTAAAAAGTTTTCTATATTAAATGCTTTTGTTTGTGCTTCATATTTCAAAATTCCGTTTTTGTTCATTGCACAACAGACGGAAATATTTCTTGACCGTATATTGGTCACTGTTTGTGTGGCCCTCTTTCCAGCTAAAGAACGTCCTCTTCTAACTCGCATTGAAAGATTAAATCCTACTTCATCAATAAAGAATATTTTATTGTCATTCATAGAAGACAAAATGTTCATGAATCTTTATGCATAAGAAGCTCTTTCATTAATAACGTCTTCCGAATTTCTTCTCTCTGGAATATTGTGAACACGTTTCAAAGTATAATTAAAACTATCAAAGTATAATTTAAACTAGATTGACTGACTGAAATGGATTTTTGCTCAAAAAGTCTTTGTTTACTTTCCTTAAGAGTTGTTCCACAATCATCATCAATCCAATTTTTGATTAGTACCTTGGATTCTTCTGTTAATTTTTTGTTTCTAGAACCACCTTTTAACTGCCGTTCTATCGACAAACCATTTTTTTATTTTTTAATAATCGAATAGATTGTAGTTTGTTTAAATCCAAGAATATTTGCAATTTTTGATGTTGAGTTTCCATTTAATTAAGATTCAATTATCCTTGAACGATTTTCATTGTTGATTGTTGGATTCGGCATTGCTGTTTATAAATATTGAAAATGATATTTAAGCTTTTATTATGAACTCTTGTTGTATTGAAGAGACAATTGCTTTTATTTACTTTTTAAAATATTATAATATTAATTTATAGTTTGATGACAATTTAATTATGTATTGTTGGGATATTTTCCAAAGCGTATATATATATTTTTTGGCAATTGGACATAATTTATCCGGCAATAAAAATAATGGTATGGCAATTAAAAACAACTAATATGGTAACTTGAAATAATTAATACCCACATTGTTTAATTTACCTATATATTTTAGGTATATCCAAAAAAATATTGAAACCACATTCATGATGCAGTACCCACTTTAAATAATGCAGAATTAAAAAAGTAGCCACATTAATTATTTCATTGTCCCGATTAAAATTGACCCATTATTATTTAACAAAAATTTTCATCATAAATATAAATACTTTAATTAAAAATAGAGTGTTTTTAAATTGTCGAAGTGTGATGCAACTGTGTCAAAATTGAACGCAAAAGTGTCGAAATAAAGTAATACAATGTCGAAATTGAATGCAAAAGTGTCGAAATAAGTTGAAAAACCCTCTATATAATATATTAGAGAGTTTAATCACGTGACTTTTTATTGCGAAAAAAAAAACGTCGTTTGTTTTGGAAAAATTTCGTCCAAAAAAATGCATGAAACTATTTTAGGTAGGTGTCGAAAAATGAAAACTCACCCATAAAAACTACAAATTTAAATACATGTGTTGGCATCATTTTTTTCAGAAAAGAATGTAGAACATTTACTTAAGTGAAGACGACATTCTACTTTTGAAATGAAAAAGTTATTTACTTTTAAATGGTTTAACTTTGTTAAAATGTCAGTTAAGTTAGATAATTTATCCGTCTTCACATGAATATAGGTTCTTCAACTATTTATTAATAATATTTATGCATTTTTATTTTTTTTTATTATGGTTAATTAGGGTGAGTTTTTTGTTTTTCAACTGGTGATTTGTAAAATTGCCCCCGTTTTACTAACACACACAATGATATATGCGTTAAACTATTTTTTTATGTGGAAAAAAAATGTGCACGTAGATGGTCTTTACTTGTATAAAAATGTAGATATAGAATAATTAGGGTGTTATAGCTTTAACTGTTGTATAGGTTTTTTTATTAACTATATATTAAAAAAAAGAATTACTGAAATAATTTTTTTTCACTTTTATAGTAGATTTACTTAATGAAAAGTAATAAGTAACGATAATGATGATGATGCTGATGATGATGATGATGATGACAATAATGACGATGATGACGATGATGACGATGATGACGATGATGATGATTATGATGATGATGATGATGATGATGATGATGATGATGATGATGATGATGATGATGATCAGTTTACAGCTATTTAAAATCATTGTAAAAATAGACATAACATGTGTCTTTATGTCATTATGTCTTTCTTTAAAAACATCCTTTTTCATTTAAAAGCTTCACGACATGAAACTTGAATCCTTTCATGTCAAGAGATTTAAATTCATTTGGCAATTTGTTGTACAACTTTATCCCATTGCAAAAGATAGACTTTAGCCTGCTTTTCTTGTTCTGACTTTTTAAGTGATAATTATTTACATTTCTCATAAAATAATCTTTAACTTAATTGTTTTTTATGCAAAATCCTTGAAACTTTCAATGAAAGTCTTTCAATGAAAGACACTCATTTTATGTAGTTGAATAGTATTGTGTACAAATGTAAATACTTTCATTTTAAATTCAATTAAATTGTCTGAAAATTTGTCAGTAAGTTTTATCATTTTGTTACACTGTAAGTTGTATATATAACATTGTGTATTTTATTTAAAAAGTATTTGTATTGTTTTGATTTATAAACAACTAAGCTGTTATTAAATTTTAAAAACTAGAATGTAATTGTACTACATAATTTACATTAACTGTAAGAAAAGAAATAATTGATTGTTCAAAAACCAGTAATAAAAAATAAATATGGTTAAAGGAAAGAAATTCTTAAAAAGGATAAAGCTATGTGTCTTAGAGCAAAGTATAAAGGAAAAATAAGAGAAAAAATTTAACTATACCAAAAAAAAAAAAAAAAAGCTTTTAATAACTTTAATAAGTTTAAATATAAAAATATGGATTTCATTGAAAAAAAGTTTGTTATATAGAAGAATCTTAAAAATTAAAAGTACTCCTTGCTTAACTTAATTTTTATTTTGTCATCTTCAGTATAGAATGTGACAATAAAGCTTTTTTTAAAACAAAGTTAGAAGAACCAAAAGAAGAAATTCTTACTCAACTTCTTACTACACTTACTACTGTCTTTTGAGCAAATTTAATGCCAAACAATCTTTAAGTAATTTGAGTAATAATTTTAAACCTCGTGTATTACGTTATGTGGCTGTTAAAAACAAAAAAAAAAAAGGTAAAAAACATTCTTTATAAATTTTTTTTACAAGTTAATCTGATTTTGTAGGTATTTCTTTTCAACATTGTGTTAGTGAAAAAAATTCTCTTAAAGTATCTTTGGAATGTGCACAAGTATTACAAACTGATCAAATAAGTGGAAAAGAACCACATTCTATGTTAAGCATGATAATGAACCTGATGAACTATGATCATTTCTTTTATTAATTGATTTTGAAAAATGTAATCATAGTCATTGTTGCGAGGGTCATGAGGTTTTTTTTTATTAAATATAATTTTATGTTATAATTTAAACTTAATTTATTTCCTTTATTAGTAAAATTAATAAAAATATGTTTAATAATCTGTTTTTACAGCATTTGAGTACAGTGATTTTTATCTTTTTCGAAGGTG